GGAGGTAAATCTAAGCTTGGGGCTAATAATAAACTTCTATCTCGGACGTGAATAACACATTCAGGATTGATAAGAGACAAGTTTACTCTCTCCTTCCATGCGCCAGTACCCTCTCCGAAGTCGGTCAGTCATCTGTCGCGGGTACTGGGTGCAAGTAGCTGACACTAAGTCAGGATGCTCCCGGGTGGGTCACAATACCCCTCCTAGTGTATGGCGCTTGTTTGGATACGCAATCTGGTTAACGCGTGTCGTACTCCGAACTGACCCCCGTGATGATCCACCGCAAGTTCCGCGTGCTCCACTGGGTAATACTCTCATGCTAACCCATTACTCTGACCATTTTCGATGTCTTTGCTAATTTTTCGTTTTAGTTCCAATACGCCGATTTTAAGAGGAACAAAACCCGATTCTAGGGTACTCATAAAGTCTGACTCTCCCGTTTATTTGGCTTATACTTACTTATGCCTATTCCGATTGCGATAAACATAACCCACTCATGACACTATGCTATGCAAGTCTACACGGCTGGGTGCCGAAATGATAATGCCATCAGCTTATTCGGCAACTGGTACGTGATCTGTGGATGCAGGTTCAAAGTAATAAAACCAGGAATCGAAAAGTTAATTGCGTAAGATGACTAACAGGGCATATTTTTGGCCTAATCTCAAACAGCTGAGGGAGTACTAAAGGAAAACTGTTTTCGAAAGGCACCCTAGCCGGTGACGACAAGTAACACGATAAGGGCCTCTCTGGCCTCTGGGTATTCGTGAGCACTATGACTCCTAATTTCCATCTACATAAGACCGAAAAAGGGCTAATATGCCGGTGGAGACATTCATGAATACCACTTACCGTCAAAATATGTCAGTGCACTTACCTTTACTATATATGAGTCTGGGTCAATATTTCCGGAAGGGTCTTCGCGTAGGGCGTTGACAAAGAACTCTAAGACAGTTTTAGGCAACGGTGGCTCCGACAACGCCTGACGGTCGTGTGGGGTGAAGATTGTTTGAGAAACTACTGCGATTAAAAGAGGGGAGGAAGGGGAGGGAGATTAGACAAAACACGAAACATAGAGACATACTTGCTTCATCTACTGCCTGCGATTCAGCGCGCAGCCAGTCCAGAGCGCCGAGGACATGTGGCCAGGCGTGCATTGCACCAGGAGTCGAAATCAGACTCTTGCTCATGGTCCCCCGGTAACCCAGGGTGCGTAACGTAGAAAGGAAACAATCTTCGGCGGCAATCTTCGCGGGAGGTATACAGAAGGAGGGATCTCGCAGTCGAACCATGAATTCAAAGATATGCATTACAAGTTGACTGCTGGGACTTTGGAGGGTTCGGCTAGAGACAGCCTCGGGATAGCCAGCGCTTTCAAGATACTGGGGAGAGAGGGGGGGTAAGCAAACTACAAAGTGGATAGACTTACCTCTAAGAGACTAATTATCTTCTCGTTTACAGCACTCTTCTGTCTCGGTTTAGTCTTCCGTACGGTACCCGGTGCGCTATAGGAATAGTTAGCCTGTGGAAGGAAAGTTACATATTTGGTGCTGCCGATGGTCTGGCATAGGAGCGTCTTTCAGATATCGAGGAGAAGGCTCGCCTGTTCATTAGATGTTATAACTGCGCCCTGGAAAACAACAGATAGGCGTGCGTCCTAAAAAAACAGATACAAGCACGTTAGATTTGAATTACAATAGTCGCCGGCTATTAAGTCCACGGTTAATAAGCATCGCCGCTTATTAAGGCCCAATTTGGTCTGGGCCCGAGGTGGACTTAATAGCCGGCGACTACTGTATAACTGTTTCACCCCCAGAGTATGCTCGTTTAAGATAAGGTAACAGGCTGCCGCGCCTGGCGAGTCAAGTTACCGAAAAAGGTAAGATTCAGGACGCTTTGCATTGTCCTACGTAAAACAACTGAAGCATTTCACGCCAAGATCATCTTGAAGCGGTTGCTTGTATGATAAGCAATGTAAACGAGGTGTCCAAAACCATTGCAGTTGCGTTCAGTAAAGTAAGCCATTTGTATTTAAAAGTTTGAGCAGATGTACAGGTATGGGTGCTGTTTATTCAATGGAATACTCAAATATCCATACTTAAAGTGATTGACCATACTCGATCTGGCTGGCTCTGTTGATGTCGTGGGCAGCAACTCTCCGTGCACCAGCAGAGAAATTTAAAGTCTGACTGTTCTTCAACAAGGAAGACCAAAAGCTTAAGAATTGATCTTACGTCTGAGCAACGAGTTAGGACCGGTTTTTACGCTAGACTTCCAGTTAGGTGGCGATGTCAAATTAAGAGTGGCAATTGAGTAGCACAGCCTGACTTTAGACGGCATGAAAGTTTCAGGATGTAATTATATTCAGTACAAGCTTTTATTCTAGGTGAACTCGTTGGATTGTCCTCGGGCAATGACAATCAAAAACCTCCGGATTTCCCCCGTCTTCCACGTACACCCCTCAGTACTGACGACCAGAAAAAACAGACCAGACGGAAGTCTGTTACAAGCGCATCTCGGGAGCAATTTTGTATCAAGACAGTTCTACAGCCTGTAAAAACCCCGGGGAAGCACCGACTCGGGTGGCAAGGTCAGCTACTCAGTCTGTTTGGCAGCAACTTGAGAGCAGGATATTTGGTAGCCTATAATTTCATTGTGGCAAACAATAAAAACAATGGTACGGTTTTCTCCTGATCAGATATACAACCCAAAAATGCTTTGGTGTCCGCAGATAACCTCGTTGGATTAACAACATTCTGTAAATTACCATCGGATGACTCTAGTAGGACGATATGACTGACACAGTCGAATTTGTTCAGGCGACGCTGTTGTGCCTTTTATTTACTAACAAGACGGTCACATGACGTTATGTGGACTGGAGAACGAAATTACGATCAGGAAAAGACAGATGATTGGTTAGTCGTTATCACTGAAAAAGAGCTCAGGACGCTTTTGTTGACGACTGATCATTGTTGAGTTGGCGCAGTAGACCTATACTGATTAGAGAAAGAAGTTTGTAGTTTACGAATGGCGACTATGCTTTAATTTTCCCAGATTCTGGCCATCACATCAACCTACTAACGTCCGGAAAATTGGCTGTCGTGTTAGAGGAGCTATGGTAACCCGACATGGACACGAGTGGTAAGTACTTCAGCGGCCTTCAGTGAATGTTAGGTGCGAAGCAGTTGGGCACTTCGAGTTTGACAAAAAGCAATCGCGGAAAAACAGTAACGTTGCCAGACGCGGTGGTTCGCAGTCGGGCGCGTCGACTACCTTACAGAATACCGGAAAGCATGTTGACAGCACTGTGGCATGGCGAACGTTAATCGTTATTAAATACGTTTTCTAATCGCAGCTATCTTGCAGCTGCGCCTGGACAACAGTAATAAGGCAGGGAGCATACGCGAGCTGACCAAATCATCGCGAAGCTGCAAATTGTACCTTGAAAAATACCTAACTTGCTTCACCCTTCTCGGTACCGGAGTGAAGGATGGAGACGCACTTCCCCCCTCAGTCTCGGTTGTATTGGGTTGTCAAAATTTTGTGAACTCAATCTTGCTCTAAACCT